AGCAAAAAAGGAAAAAAAATAGTTGCAAAAAGTAGGTCTCGAATATGGGATCTTTAATATTCAAGCGATTCGCCTTACTCGATTAAAAAACGCTTGATTCTTTGTTGTACGCTGCTGTTAATAAAACAGTCTAACGCACGGCAAGGACGCGTGACGTAAATAGCTTCGCTTGTGGATATAATATGGACATGAACCATCTCAGAAAATAGACGTGACTTTTTGACCGATGCGGAAAATGGACGTGGCTATTTAGTTCCTAAGCCGGCCGGAAATGGACGTGCGTCACTAGCGTACGGCCTAGAGAAAGCGTCGTACGGAAAACGGCAGCGTGGCCTCTCTCAGGTTTCTCTCTGTATATACTAAAGAAGTTATGTGTTATCAAAACGTGAAATTAATCTGCATATGTAAAACGTAAAAAAGGTCAGGTATATATATACATATATGTGTGCATATTAATATTTGATAAATTATTGTTTTATTGTATTATTGTATCTTAGCTTGATATTTTTAAACCAAATTTAATTTACTTACTTTAATATTTATTGCAGATGTCTGGTAATTTAGAAGCAGTATCAGCTTTTTCTGTATATTCAGCAAAACGGAAAAATATAGAACAGCCATTAAAGTCCAAAAAGAAAAAATTAAAACATTTTTCACAAAAAATTACAGTATCTAATCAAAAGAACGTCAAACAGAAGAATAATAATCAAATACTAAAAGGACAAAAGATTAAAAATAAATGTACTTTGAATGTTGCTGTGAAAACAAAACATGGTAATATTACAAAAAAGGGTAATTTAAAAATCTTCAAAAACAATATCTTGGGTGATAAAGCACACGTGAAATTTTTACAACTAAATGAGAAAAAAAAACTGAAGCAGATAAATAATGTCCGAAAATGTGTATATAAAGAATTAAAATTAAAAGGAGCAATGATAGAAAAAGAGAAAAATAAAAATTTTAGCAAGGGAGAAACTACAGAAACAGAAAACGTTGAGAAACAAGATGATGACAACAGTTTAAATGATGCAAATAATAGTGTAAATATAGAATATTTTAGCGATTCTAATCCTATTGTAAACAGTCAAAAATTATTTAAATGGCTGATATATCCTTTGAAGATAGAAAATTTTTTCAAGTAAGTTAAAATTAATAAGTATAATTATATATGTTACATATTAACATTATTCTTCTTGTTTTCAGAGAAAATTGGGAGAAGACTCCACTGCATATAAAAAGAAACAAACCTAAGTATTACAAAAATCTCATGTCAACACCTATGCTAGATAAAATATTGAGAGAAAAACATATTTTGTTTAGCAAAAATATCGATATTACTTCCTATTCTAATGGAGTAAGAGAGACTCACAATCCTGAGGGCACAATTCGTGCATTTCCAAGTGTTGTTTGGGATTATTATCTGAATGATTGCTCTGTGAGAATGTTAAATCCTCAAACGTTTATACCACAGTTACATGCGCTGAATGGTAAAAACTATATTTTTTGGTTCTTTTTTTTAATAATTTATTATTTTTTAATATAAATCATGAGATATAACATGCTTTGCAGCTACACTTCAGGAATTCTTTGGCTGTTTTGTTGGTGCCAATTCATATCTTACACCACCCAATAGTCAAGGTTTTGCGCCTCATTATGACGACATAGAAGCATTTATATTGCAAATTGAAGGTAAAAAAAGGTGGAGACTGTACATGCCTCCTAACGAGAATGAATATTTGCCGAGATATTCCTCTAAGAATTTTAATCAATTGGAGATTGGAGAACCTATACTGGATACAATCGTTGAAGCTGGGGACTTGGTATACTTACCACGAGGAACTATACACCAAGGAGAGACTATTGATGATACTCACAGTTTGCATGTTACATTAAGTGTATATCAAAAGAACAGTTGGTGTGACTTACTCGAGAAACTACTTCCGCAAGCGCTAAAGAGAGCGACCGAAGTTGACAGCCGTTTCCGAGAGGGATTACCTTTGGATTATTTAAGATATACCGGAATTGTATATAACACAAACGTCAAGAAAAGTATTTTCAAAAAAAAGATTAAAAATTTGATTAACCACTTAATAGATTACATCGATGTAGATGACGCGGCCGATTTAATGGCTAAAGGTCACATTCACGATTTTCTGCCTCCTTTTCTCACCAAAAATGAACAGAAATGTTCAGTAGTGGAAAACGGCGAAATCATGGTTGACAATGGGGTTGTTAAAAATTACACAGAAATAACAGCCAATACAAGGATACGATTATTAAGAACACATTGTATCAGGTAACTCATTCGAAAATTATAATTTATTTTGGAAAGCAATTGTAAAATATTTAGATGAAATATAAACGTATACTATATTATTATTAGGTTGATAAAAGAAGATGATACGTTTATGATTTATTATTCTACTGATAATTCTAAAGAATACCATGAAATGGAAATACAATCTCTAGAAGTTGATGAATCAATTATGCCTGGAATTTCAAAATTAGTAACATCTTATCCAAACTTTATACGTGTTGGCGAATTACCGATTGGAGACGAAGACGTTAAGGTATGAAGCATATGTTGCTCACACGCAATAAATTACTTTATAATTAATCAATCGATATTTTTTACAGATTGCGGTTGTGAAAGATCTTTGGGAGAAAAATCTAATTATAACGGAAGTTCCTCTATGTTCTACAGATTCTATTCTGCATCTTCAAAAAGAGAAATAGTAGAAGTCGAAATAAAAAATACATTACAATTTCTAAATCTGTTTTCGGTTTATTTCTAATTTTACTAGTTCGAAATATAAGTATTTTATTGTTTATTTTGTTCATAATATATAAATATCTGTAATATATTTTAGTAGTCTCAGGAATATTATTTTTAGACTCTCCAAAATATAAATTTATTATAGATATAACTTAATGTAGTGCAAAAAGAAAATAAACATCTCTGATCATTGCCCAGCTAATGTATCCTAATAATCCTTATCGCCTCCAAAAAAATCCCATCTGACTAGACTACTAAAATCCAATAATCCAATGGGTGAAAACGATAATCCAATAATAAATTTTAAAGTTTATTCAGATTTCGCACTAAAACTATACCACTCATAATAAATCTTATGTGACTAAGTTTCACGGTCTAAAAAATCTATACATAATTAATTGAAAGACTAAAAGAGAGAGAGAGAGAGAGAGAGAGAGAGTAAGAATAACCCGTACGTTGAATTATATATTAATTGATAGTCAACATGAGTTGGCTGCATTATATTAGACACAGAATGTTTAAGAGATAATTTCAGTCGTGGCTGCTATTCAATGTAGGATGTAGATTTATATATATATATATACGTAAATAGTTTATATACAATGAATGTGCTCTTGAAAATTGTAATGAAAATCGTAATCCCTACAAACATTGCGACATTATATATATGCTAGTATTATATGTGTTTTACATTATATACTTATTATATATATGTATATATATATACAAAAAATTTTTGAGCAATCTCGCACCTATTGCTCTTGCTCGTGCAAGATTACGATATTTTACATCCTCTTCGGCGTGTACCAGTGAATTGATTCCCCATCTAAATGATGTTTTTGATTACATTAGAAGCGGAATTTTGTATTTAGTTATCTATATGGCATGTCCCAATTGATTCATAGATGAATCAACCTTATAATATCTATGTTTTCGAAATAATTTACAAAATTTTCTATTTAATTTATAACTCCATTTACCCTCGTATTGTTTTTTAACATTAGGCGCACATTATATTCTTTTTTTTCGCGTTAACACAAATTATTTCCATGGTACGCGCGGGATGATTATACGGAATGATTAACGATTCGAGTTAACATTCCGGGTTAACGATTTGCTAGCTTTTTCTAGATTATATTATCAATTTATAACGTATACAGAAAGAAAGAGAGTTCAGTTAACGCTGATCTAGCCTGGTGCCCAAAGTGTCAGAAACATATACATATTATTGTACGGATTTTCTCGTGTAATTCTGCAATTATTCTCTTTTGCTATAATAAAATATACAGTTAGTAACAAATCAATGAAATATAAAACGAAATATCTGATGATATTATCTCGTATTCGTCAACAATTGTTTTTACTTAAGAATGCTCATTAAAATACGTTACATTTGTGAAATAGAAAATGTCATTTCCATCAGCGCTTTGAAAACAACCAATATTTATTGTCGATACTTCTGTCAATCACACGTCGACAATCCGACCATAGAATCCAATATTTCTGCAAACCAACTAACTCCAGCCAACAAGAAACTGTCGACTCCTCCAGGCATCAGTCAAGATCTTCTGCGGATGAATGTTCATATAGCATATAACAGCGACATAATTTTAAATAACATAAAACATCTATAAGATAAAAAGACGTCTCATATATTAGTATGTATAGTTTAAGCAAACAAGTTTTTTTTTCCAATTCCTGATTTCGACTACTACACATATGTATATATTTTAAACTGAATATATTCAATGTTAAAATCATTAATGTGTTATTAATGTGAAATTTTTTTGGGTTCATTAGATCCGTTAGATTTGTCTGTTTATGTCCAAATCTTTTACATACTAATATATAAAGACATTACACCTTACATCAAATATAATCGCACACAAATTACAAGACCTTACGTTTTATATTCTACACGTAATAAAAACGTACTCTCAGAATAAACAGAGACGCTGTATGAGAGACGCAAGTTTAACAATACACACGGATCGTGCATCGAATACATTTGGAAGGTGTGTATCGACAAGAAACATCGATTATTTAAGAACCATTTCGCACAGAAGCGAGTGGGACGCTTGCCTCTCGCCAGTGTGTTAGACAAAATATTGGCTTTACCGTAACTTTCTTTAAAATTCTACACAAAGTCTCAAATTTCTGTGCTTGATTTTGTTTTGCATCTTGCTACGTTATATACACGAAACGTTAAATTTTTACAGAAGCAGATTTTTATTTGTATTAGATTCGTCTCGTCTCTTCTAAACCCTTAATTATGTAGAATAATATATGTCATATGTTTCTTTAATTACAATTACATGACAAAGTTTGAACTACATTTTGACAGAAAGACTAAACGCTACGTTCACATATTATTGTAATTTCTCTAGCACTTGCGCCAAATTTCTATCGGTAGTGCGTTTTGAGATCACGGGATGTGGTCACGGATTATGATTTTCTTTTGGTTTCTCCAGATAAATATAACTTATAACAATAATAAATTAGTCGTCGTCGAATGTTTGCATAATGCAAACTTAATTAGTGAATACAATAATCGTAAATATAATATAGAACATAATCATCGGTGTATTTTATAACAAGTAATTCACAATTTATTTAATATTATGTAGAGCATTCGTAATTATTCGCAAAGCACTATTCTCTTCGCTTAAATTTTCCATCTCGCTAATTTTAATCGCAATATTTCGAAAACAATTATTAGCGATATTTAATATATGATGATATACATGCATTATGCGTAATTTATGCTCAAGATCTCAAAACTAATGAATTAATGATACAGTAATTATGTAAGACACACACGCACGCGTACACACACACATACACACACATTATTGGATTGTTAATTATTCAAAACTTATTCGTCCGACATTCATAAATATATATATATATATGAATATATACAGGGTGTTCCACCAAAAGTGACCACTCCCTTTTATCTTTTAAATTAAAAGAGAGGTATGCATAATTTTTTATAATGATGTAGATATTTTGATATAAGAAAAATTGTAGCGCTGTTTGAAAAGAATACAACGATATATAATTTAATATAAATATTTTACATATTATACGAGTTTTATCGATTTGAAATATCGCGGGCGACGTCTACCTTTTCACTTTTGGCCCTGCGATATAGCAAACTTCAATAATTAATTAATAATTAACAGCGTTACAACTTCAATTGACATACGTTAATTTCTAACGCACGAGTCAGAAGTTAGCTATATCGCGTTAACACGAATAGCTTTTGTAAGCAACTATTATGCTCACAATAAAGTTCAGTTTAAACCATTTAATTTGATATACCTATATTTATTATGGTCTATCTCTTTTAATTTAAAAGATAAAAGGGGGTGGCACTTTTGGTGGAACACCCGTATATATGTATATGTATATAGATATATTATCTTACACCTAATATTTGTTATCATTTTGACCAGGCATGATTAAAATTCTAACAGATATAATTTAAGTTTATACTTTCAGCGCGCGGCCAAGTTGAAGAACTCGGCGACTTTCGCTACTTAGCAGCATTGTCTCACTCCTTAACAAGTAGTTAATCCATCTAGACTTATGATCCCTTAATCAATTAATTATTATCGACCGCGCTTCTCTACGATACTTGTTTATGATGGCCTTCTCTCTTTCTCTTTTTCCTCGCTCACCAGTTTTCTCTTTTAGAATCTCGAAAGTCATTACCTGCGTTCAACTTTATTGTTTGCAAACGTCAAATACGCGCGGACGAAGCGCCAGGCACTTGGAGATACAGAAAAATTTATATATTGAGTTGTTCTTTCTAACGGTGGAATCTCGAGGTTTCTTAATGCATCATCAATATTATTTGTTCTCTGGATTATACTGAATTATTACGGGCCATAGCCATAAACATTAGTCAAACTCAATTGAGAGATTTAATTAAAGTGTTTAATATAACAGTACTCCATTTTTTTAAGACTTAAACTAAAAGACTAAAAGTTAATTTAAATATAATTTCCTTTAGTTTGTAAGTTAAAAAAAATTATTATACATTTAGCATAATTTTCTTAAATTTAGAAAGATGAGTTAAATACAGTACGTTTTACACTAAATATACAAGACTTTTGCATTTCTAAAAAGTTTGAAATTATATTAAAATTTTTTTTTTTAAATATTACATCCAACACTTCAACTAATTTTCCATCACTTTCAGAAACTTGAGTTTCAACTAATGTTTATAGGAACGACGAATTGCTCTTGTCGTGAATGGATAAGGGGTCATATTTCTTATTCTCTTTCGTGAATACGATGTTAATCCACATTATATTGCATTCAATTTCCTCATTAAGAAGTTACTTTACTTACTGAACTGGCTAAACTTGCAAAAACAATTTAAGCATGTCAAAAGTTATTCTCTACTTTCATAAAATAAACAGTTGCTTTTAATTGTAATATCGATAATATATTTCGTGTATTACAAAATATAAAATTTATTGTTAGAAAAAAATTAGTAGACATTGGAAATGTATTAAAACGTGACAAATAATACAATGTAAAAGAAAAGAAAAACGCCAAGACTTCTTAATCAAGAATGGTACACTGCACAATTTCGATATATCTTACATTTTATTCGAATATAATAAATGAATCGCATTTTTTAACAAATTCAACTTCCATCGTAAATTACATTATCTAAAGCAGTTGACGATGATGCAGAATGAGTCGTGGATTAACATACGGATTGATATGATTGCAATGGAAATGTGAAATTAATTCTAATTCATTTGTCAAATTAATTCTAATGAAAGGAATTTTTGATGCCCCATTGTTGTTTTCTCGACAGAGCGATGAGATCTATTACTTATCTTTGTTTCTCATATTAATTCGCTTAAAAGACACAACACTATTAACTATTTATTCATTCACAGAAAATCAATCAACAAAATAAAAAAACATTGTATGGTCGCTTTCCTTTCTCTTAACGCTATCTTTAAAGCTTTAAT